TCTTGAGTTAGCGTGCCTTCAGGGCTTCCCCCAGAAAAACAGATATGGTTTTCGTTGCCTGCAAATCCTGGAAAAGAACTGAGAACAAAACCAAGATGGCTATTTGGCCTTCATTGGCAGGATCAGAACCGACTGTCACCACCCATTTGAACGATCCTCTCCTTACAAACAGAGTTAAGCAGGGATGCATTCTTGGATCAGCCTTCTTCACAACTGGTCTACGAGTTGTTTCTGACTGGGTGAGGAGTGCTCTCCAAGCAGGTGCTGGAATAAGTTCCTGTGCCACTAGCAAACCTCTCAAAAAAAAAAATCTGAACTTCAAGCAGAGTTTAATGTCTCAAAAAACAACCAAACTTGAAGAAAACGGGCCATCTCCTGAAAAAAGCTATGCTGAGTCTTCTGTAACCATAGGCAGAAAGGGACAGCTCGGTATTAATGAACTCTACCATCTTGGGAGTATCCTGACTCTGCTTGTACCCATGCAAAGATGAGCTCTCATATCCGGAAAGTTAGTATGGTCTTTGACAGGCTCATTAAATGAATAAGGAGTCAGTGGATATCAAACTCCATGTAAGTTGAAGGTCTACAGATCCATAATACGACACTGCTAGAAGAATGTGAGCCTTGTTTGATATATACCTCCAATAGCTAGAAAGACTGCGCCAAAGATTCTTGCCTGTCTTGCTCTGTATTAACTAGTATGATAGTGATGAATGCTGAAGTTTTGTAGTGGATGGATTGCTTGAGTAGTGAGGCATTTATTGTGAGGGCTCAGCTGTACGGGGCTGGCTGATATGTGAATGGCCATGCCGTTGCAGTACAGTGAGCCAGAGCTTGGCAAGAGTAAGTAGTTTATGGACATTTTTAAGTGGCACCTGGCACAAAGAAACATAGCAGCAGACCACTTGAGCCTTTCACTACAGATGGTTATCAAGGCCAAGGCAAATGAAGGCATGGTGCATGTTGAACAACAGTGATAAGTCAACAAGCTGCAGAAGTGTGTAAAGCAAAAAGAATGACACCAGCAGTAGTCTGGTTTACAGGATATGTAGAAATGAAGGTTGCTTGCCATCACTTGTTGCTTGCCGTCACGAAGGTTTGCTGGCAGTCACTTGTGCACCCACCGTGCATCCTTGACTGTGAGGAACACCTGTCTCATACTGGGTAAAATGCTGCCACGCCAAACCAAGGCTGCCAGCCTTGTTTGTCAGAGAACACAGCCTCCTTCTCCTTCTGTTAACACCGGTGAAAACGTTTCACCCTCTCTTGCCTTTTCAAGTCACTCACTTTAACTCTGAGAGCCGATTTCAAGTCAAAAGGTCAAATCATAAAAGGATTGCATTAATTTGGGAGACACCTTGGAACTAGATGAAGACCGCAGAGATGACACCAGCAGGGGATGTTTGTGCCCCAAAGTCAGCTATTCCAGCAGGTATTTTTTCCATCACCCCATTTGAGTAGCAAATGGCTGAGAGGTAATTACTCATAATGCTTACTGATTGCTTTCATGTACGAGACTATCCTGCTTCTTGTCTCATGTTCGTGGCATTTGGCTTGCTGTAAGGAGGTCGAATCCAGCCACATGATGTCTGAAACATTCTCTCCTAATAAATAGCTTACCATAAGCTGGAAATGCGTCACACACTAGCCAGTTATTTCTGCATCATAAACTCCTAATACTTCTTCAGGCTGATGGGGTTTTGTATTTACTAAGATCTGGAAGTATGCCAAATATTCTTCCATAAAGGACACTGTTTTTGTTTTATCCGCCATACTCTGTTAATCTTCTGGTATTTCTGGTATTTGAGAGGCCCTCCCCTTTTGTTCCTGGGCATTAACCTAACCACCAAACCAGCTATTTCTGACTAGTACAGCAAACTACCCTGACTAGTAGGAAAGAGTCCCATCAAGCACTTGGAACTGCTAGATATAAACCTTGGGTCTGAAATTCCACGAGTTCCTTGTACCTCGGCCCAGGTTCATGAAATGCCGGTGAATATGAGCTAAGGACATCTGAAGAGCTGGGAGCCAACTGAATGTTCCTCTTTCCTTGCCATATACCATGTCAGCAATGAGTTGGAGGAATTAGGATTTTCAGTGCTTGTTGGGAACTGAGGTGGTTGTGGGGGAAGATGCACAGATGTGGGGTCCCAATGAAGTTTGAGTGGCCTGGACTCAAACCTCCAAGAGAATCCACTGGATGCACTGCCTTCTAGTCTGTGCGTTGAGTATCTGTAGTTGGGTTTTGGGTTGTAGCCATGTTGGTCTAAGGACACAGGCAGGCAACGTTCTTTGAGTAGATGTGATATCTTTTATTAGACCAACTGAGTAGTTAGAAAAAAAGTTCTAGGCAAGTTTTTGGGTGTAGTCACCCTTCTTCAGGCATAGGGAGTCTCTGCTGGTCCTACTCAAAGAACCTTGCCTGCCTTGAGTATCTGTATGCATTTTCTGCACTCTGTCAGCAGACGGTGATGCCCAAATTGCATTGTTTCATGTTGTTCTGCTTGTACCATACCATGTTAGGGGGTTGTTTGTTAATATAGATCGTTCCCCTGTTCTTCCCTGTGTGGGACAAGATCTGCACGGTTACACAAAACAGTCCCTGAGGAGCAATGTGTTGTTCCAACTCATTGATGGCTTCCCCATATACTAGAAGACTGTCATCCTCGTATTGAGAGACAGCTGCTGCCACTGCCAACGACTATCAGTCTCTATCTTATCCTATCTACCACTGTTTGCCATCTGCACGCTTTTGCATTCTTCCTGCCTTTAAAGTGGCCTATCTAGTCGACTTCCACCTCTTTATTCATTCCTTACTGCTTCACTGCTCTGGTGGCGCCTTGCCAAATTCTCTTCTTTCTCTCCTGCCTCCAAATCTGAGGCATTTTCCAGCTTTGCCAGTCATTGGGCCCAGGTCAACCCTCCTCCCCTTTTTTTTTAAATTCAGGGCTTTGTGTGTATTAAGCCTTCAGGCATAAATTTGCCTTTGGCTCTGAAACTTGGCAGACAAGATCTCAGGCCAAGAGCAAGGGGTTTTTTTTTGGTTGGTATTTTTTTTGCCAACTGAAACAGATTAGAATGTGCCTGGCCATTTTTCAATAGCACGAGTATAAAAATAGTAGTTTGTTGGATGTAGGACTTTTATAGGCTTATTTAATTAAAAAGGGCTTTGATTTAGCACAAGAAATTTGGCAAAGGATTTGACCTCTGCTCAGCGTCATTGTTAGCAGTGGTTTGAAGCTCTCCTTTCCTCATAAGATGAATGTAAGTTCTTACAGCCTTAAATTTTATATAAGTTGTGTTAACTCACGAGTTAACATCCCCAGATAAACACACACCCAGTTTTGGTTTTTTGCTTTACCTTTCTACTAAACCTGACCTTGTCTGACCCCGAATGGACCAACTGTCTTTTTGGTAGATATTAGATTCAGGTCCTACTAGAGCCCAGCAGAGTTGTCCCCACTCTTTACAAAGACAGACATTGCATTCTCCAAGACCGGTGCAAAGTATCCGTGCTCCAGGGAGCCACAGTTCCAAGGACTCAGCACCTGAAACTGAATCCCACAAATGTCAGGGCCCAAAGGATTGCATTTTGAAGGGCAATGGTAATGCTTTGCACCTGTCTAGCATTTTTCATCCTAGGATATAAAAGGACCTTAGAAGCATTAATTCGTGAATACAGGCTCACAATAGCTCAGTAAAGGCGGCAAGCATTAGGACACATAATGGAGAGGAGCGAAAAGAAATGCAAGGTAGTTCAGCACCATGTTTTCAAAAAGGGCCTCTGTAGCTGGAGACCTCAGTATTCAAACTACCAACCTGAAATCCCCGAGATTGATTTGCAGAGGGCTAAGCATTTGCATCTCCTTTGTGACTTTATTTAGAATTGTACATGAGATTTCCCTTCCTTTCCTCCCCTGCTCCTGAAGTATATAAAAGGCAGTGAGGCCCAAGATTGTAGACATATACCCAAGATTGCAGACACAATTTTTACCTAAGAAACTTGACAAAGGCAGGCTAAGCAATAGCAGAGCCAGATTTAGTTCTGTGGTATAACTACTGGGCTAGACTCCCTCCTTATTATGGCAGCTCTATTCAATGAATTGTGATCAAGGTTATGCGGTGTAAAACAATCTAATAATGTGGACCACCTACTGAGGTTGGTTAACCCCAGTGGTGCTGCACAGGCTGGCTGAGATCAGAGACTGGCCATTATTTCCAGGCGTAGGCTATTCTCTTTAGTTAAATATTCTTATTCACCAAAATAGGAGGAAAAAAAACCAGTCATGGCACTTTGATGGGGGAGGGCTCTCACCTCTCTTTCTAGGTGCGGCCATGCCTCTGTCTCCCTACTAGCCTGCAATCTGCCACTGGCTGGTCAGGTAGAGTAACTCTTCTGCTTCCAGGAGAAACAACAACCCAATGGAATAGAAGCCCTCAAATCTTTAGTCCAGGTTGTGGGGACTCATGTTTTTGGAGCTATCAAGTGACCTTTCACCAAATTAACAACTTAGCCTTCCTTGAGGGTCCTTACCACTCCCCCCCCCGCAAACACACCCTCTCAAACTCATCCCTATCCATTTCCCAGGCCTCTTGCCCAGCAACTGGAGAAGGGGAGGTGACTTATAACATGACATACGAAGTTCTGTGCACTTACCCATAAACCCTTGGTTCTCGACCTCAAATCCTTCTGCTCTAAATGAACTACAAGTCCCAAAGGGCGTTTATACATGTGCTCCGAGAGGTTGGGGGGGGGGGCACTTTAATTAGAGCAGCTCCAAGAGCTGCTCCAGTTAAAGTGCCCAGAGTGTCTTGTGTATCGGCGCCCCTGTGCTTCAAAATGATGGTGGGGGCACTTTATCTAAAGCTCGTTGAACAGCTTTAGGTACAGCCCCTTCCCCTTTATCTCTTTGAATGTAAGTAGCTCCTGGGGGGGAAGATATATGGGAAAAGAGACATAACAACAGTGAAGTGATGTTCCTTTGCCATTTGTTTTACAGAAAAATGTCTCTTCAGCAACACTTCAGAATTAAAAGCCCCAGTCCTAGAAGGAGGTGAGCCCAAGCGGGTTCCTGAATATAAATGGAGCCGCACTGAGCTCAGCGGGACGGCTTGCAGGTGTAAAGGTGTCGCCCAACTGCAGGGTCTGTGCCTTATTTAGACATGGTCAGTAGGGGTATCAGTCAGTAGGCACAAGAAGGGTTTAGGGAAGAGGACAATTACAGAAATGTTTTTCAGTTAAGATTTCAGCAAATCAAGGTGGTTCAGTCTGAAGTGTTTTCAAGCCACTGCAAACTGCCATAAATCACAGCAAACATAAAATCTAGCAAAATCACCTCTGCATTATCAGCAGTGCCCTTGATGTATAGCCTGACAAACAGCTCTAGCTGCTCCATAGAGTAAGGGTGCTCTAACCCCAAGCTCTTCCAACTTCAAAATATATGAAGTCTCTGAACATTTCATGGCCCCTAAAAAATTCCCAAGACAATGCAGTAAGTTTACCATGAGTCATAACGAACCATGACAATTAATAACAGGAATAAAATCCCTACTCAAATCCTCCGAGCATAAAACAAAAGCTTTCCTGTTATAAACATAGAACCAGGCTGAATTGCTTAATTCCACCCAACAAAACTACAGATCCTCGCTCCCACTGGGGAGCTTTATATGGCAGTTATCAAAAATCCAATATATGAGACCAAACAGGCATGGAGGAACCCAGACTTTCCAAATTAAGCCCTCAGAGAATCTCTTTAAATCCATCAGAGAACCTAAAAGCCATTAATCTATCAACCGACTCTAGATTCTTCCCATAACTTTATATCCAAGTCAATCAAAAGTGCCCCTCCTTTACTGATGATAAATCCTTGAGGTCTTTTTGGTCTTATTAAAAGTATAGGCCCGGGTGGCAGGAGAGGTGTATTCTGTTGTGTGTCTTTACAATGGCCTTGGTGCATAATCCTGGCTTAACCTCTCAATGCCTTGGTTTCCCCCACCTGTTCTGGATAACAATAGTGATTTACTTCATAGAGCTTCTGTGAGGCTCTGTTTGTCTCTGTGATGCATTATTTTTTATCACAGCTACAACCAGTCCCACCTGCCCAAGCAAAGCACATTACCTGCACTATGATTTCTGTGCGACTCAAAAACCCTTCTTTTTTCCGCTTAGGAGCGATTCTCTTCTCCCCGTGACCAGATTTGGAGTGCGATACTCAGGCAGTGCTCTAGGTTTAGATCCCACAAAGATAAAATTTGACGAGGCCAAATGCCTAGTGTGGGGTCATCGGTAAATAAGAAAGTCTCTATAACATAAGGGACTTCTTCATGTGGTAAAATCATTCTGCTTGTGAGACAATGGCACAAAGCACAGATAGACTGAGGAGCCCATCATTAGCATTTGTATATTGGACAACATTGTGAAGTGAATATATTTCCACCCAGGCTACTTTAGGGAGCTGCCGACAGAAACAAATGCAAAGAGAAAGCGGTATAGAGCCTTAAATGCAGTGTCCGTCTATTTTATTTGGGGAAAAAACCTGTTATTGTATCAGATAAAGTTTTGTAATGAATGGCTAGGCTCATAAAAGAGTGTGCAGTTTGTGGATGCTTTATTCTGTCTAGACTTTCTTCTTTCTGTAATAAAACCTAATGGCAAAGTAGACAATGGCTATATTTACCATTCGTCCATCACTCAGCTGACCTTGCATCAAAACAAGGCAATATGCTACCATATGCTTTAATATCCCATGCCTCAGAACTCAATTCTCCAACCGATTTGGTATCTACTCATCTTATCTAGTAGACCAGTCACTGAAATAACCGCAGAGTCAAAGGTACGCACATAAGCACACCCCAAAAAAGATGTGTAAGTACTTCTTGTGAATGCATCTTATGTGTACTTCTTTGTGAATGGATATTGGGAGAGGGCACAACTGTTTTGTGGGCATAACATAGGTGCTGATCACTGAAATAAAAGTGACCGCCAAGGACTCAACTAAGAAAAATGTCACATTCTAAAAAACCGCCACCTTGTGGTGACTTGGAAACTTGTTGCCCATTGCAGGACATCGTGCTTCTTAAGATGCTAGATTTTGATGGGATGCAAAACTGTACTACCCAGCTAAAAACAAACAGAAAATAAGAAGTGTATCCTGTAATGGGTTTGTGTGGTGTTACTCATTGTTATGCAAATACATCAATAGAATTCATGCTAAACTGTATCAGCTTTTCAATAATTGATGACACAATCAACTAAAATTCCTAATTTGTTGCAGTGGTTGCAATGTTTGTAAACACATGCAATTAAAATGTAATAACATTCAATTATAGTTGGTGATGCATACATAATAATACAGATTATTCAGTTCTTATTAGTAGGTATATCCCCTTTGAGCTCAGTTGAAGGGGAAATGTTTTTGAAACGCACCATAATGAGGCAGAAATTTTATTGAAAAGAGAAGGATGGGACAAAATGACTCCCAAGGAAAAATAATGAAAGTGTCTGAAGGCAGAATCAAAAAAGGATTCTTGCTTTTGTAAGCATGCATTACATAATGATACAACATTATTCCTTTTATAGTACTAATTTTGTGCAACGGCAGGAAAATTTTCATCCAACGACCATCACGGACTATGCATGTAAAAGCTTTCCTGCCAGTGGCAACCTTCTGAGAACAAGGCCCATATACTGCCTTCAGTTCCCCTCTCGTATGGCATCTGGTCACCCTGCATGTCGAGGCTGGGATGTTCTTGAATATGCTTCATAAAGCCACTTCAGGTTACACATGCCAAATCTGGAAATGCAGCAGTGAAATCACTCCAAGGACCTCCTTCATGGACAATCTTAAGCACGATGGAGACAGAGGATGCCCACAGAGGGGCTTCACTGCTTCTTTTCCAGGTGTGGTACATGTGAGTAGGAGTGGGTAGGTAGGGTATGCTCAAGAGCACTCCTCCCCAGCCATGTCAAGGGCTCAGTGAGAACAACTTCATGTTCATTAATGTGCAAATTAATGAAGTACTGACTAAATGTGCAGTAACTACAGCTACTGTGCAGTAGCCGGTGCACTTTTTTTTAGTGATGCTTAGTGCCTAATAGTACTGCACAGTAGTGTATTAGCATGATTTTTGCCTGGCATGCTACTGCACAGTGTTATTAGGCTACTGTGCATTAAATGCCTTATATAGGTGCACCCACTGTAGATGTGCCAGAGATGTTGCACTGGATGCAAGCATGGTTTGGCTTTCAGCATTCAGGAGAAGCTCGTCTTATTTAGTGCTAGTGTTTGGAGGAGGTCAAACTGCAACTATATTCTCTGTATGTCTGAAGACTTTGTGTTTCACCTTTTCTTTTCATCAGGGTTGTAGAGCTTTGTTAAGTGGGTAACAGTGTAGATTAGGAATAGCCCGAACCCTCTCACCTCAGGATGAAACATCCCTGGTCCTTGAGGAAATTATATTTTGATCTGTATTTTTGTGACATGGGTCCATCTCTACCAGGGTCATCATGTGCCTGGATATATATCTATATATTTAAATACTTTTAAAAATATTGACTTCATTCAAATTGCTCAAATTGATGCTTATACAAGAGAGAAGAGAACCAGACCCCAGGGTTTTAATGCTCAGGAAGGGTGTTGCCTACAACTTGGGCTAATATGAACACGCTGACACTGAACTGAGCTGCGCACGTTAGGCCCGATGCCTATTTTTTGAATCAGAGACCTGACAAACTACTTTACAAACTATCTCATCCAGACTACAATACTCTTCTGACTTTTTCAAAATGAAAGATGCAAAAGGGACACTACAATTATTCTGGAGTAAAAGCAAATGAATGAGGAAACCCAAATATCATATTGCTTCAGGGGAACTCCAAGTAACCTGGAAACCAAAGGGGATATCTCTTAGCATAGTATTGTCAAGTCCCCTATTTCCTGTAGTGTTTGGCAGTCCAGGGATGTCACTTAGATGGTGCTTTTAAATTACAGAGATTCAAATCCCACAATCCTTTCTGAGAAAACTCTACCTATAATAGAGAAGAGGAAGATGGGAAGGTGAAAAGACTGCTTAACCTGAGCCTGTCATGTAGAAAAATACATATTTAAGCATCTGAAAGTAAGTTTCAGTAGAGAAATAACAACTGAGTTTAAATAGACGAGTCAAAACTGAGTGTAATTCAAAATGCAATGGCAAGCTGGAGTGGCAAACTTTCAGGTTTGTCTGCTCCTGTAGTATTTGCAGGACCAGAAACTACTTCCCAGGGCATGTCTACACATTAGTGTACATGAACCATTTGAATTAGTGCGATCCATTTGAATGTGTGCCCGGGAGCAATTAATTCATGTACAGCATGTGGAGCCAGGTTGGAGCAACCCTGGCTGGAGGAGGTCGGGGGGGGAGGAGTGCCATCCTGCCAGCCTGGGGCTGTTCCCCCCAGCTCCATGTAGAGCGAAGAGGCTGGCTGGGGCATGAGGGAGCTTCAGTGTGGGGTAACCGGCAGGCAGCCCCTGCACGGAAGCACCCCTGTGCCCCAAGCCAGTCTGGGCAATGTCTATACGTGCGATGCTGCGGAGTTTTTTACTCCACAGCAGGAAAGTACTTGTATTTACTTGTATGGAGTAAATTAGTTTACTCCAGCTTAATAGCTGCGCACATGTAGACATGAGATGTTTACTGCATAGTTAATTGTAGTCACCTGCACAGTAAACATCTTGTGTAGACACATCCCCAGAGAATCAAGTCTCAAGTATTCTTCATTAGCACAGACTCACTAAACAACTATTATGTTAGGGCACTAATTCTCAACCTGGGTGCCAGGAGGCCTTATTAAAGGGATATGGGGTGCCGTGCAATATTAGCACTGTTGTGTGCAAACATCTACACATGATTCATGAGACAAACCCAGAGATTTCAAATAGGAATGCATACTATCTAAAACGGTCTGACCTGTCGTGGTCTTTCTGTTTTTCTTTGTAACAGAAAAATTGCTCTATTCTTTTTCGGTAGTCAAGAAACAAGTGTAAACTAAGAGCTGGCATTTTCAGAGGGGTACTTTGAGTCTATGAGTGCCTGGAGCCTTTGAGAAAAGTTGAGAACTACTATGTTAAGGGAAGCATACTTTTACTACCTGCTTCTGGGACTAATAGCCTTATACATATTAACTGCTCTAAGGTTGCCAGGCAAACCCAGAGTTAGCCCTCAGTGTTTTTCCCAAAGCAAACAGTAAGGAGCCATAGTTAATCTCTGAGCTCAGCTATTGGATCTGTTAGCAATTGCTGGATTGTTCCACATCACACATTTTCTAGCCTTTTGTTCAGCCTGTGTTTAAATGTTGCAATCCAGGAGGCTGTCACTAGCACAGCCATTTAAGTTTACATTTTCTCTCCCTCAAATCCATCCGATTACACTTCCTTATACACTTTTGCATGCTAAATATATTTTCTCTGTCTTTGGTGTTTATACCTTCCAAGACTGCTATAGCTCTCCTTAGTCATTTCTTTGCTGAGCAACAGCATTTCAAAGTTTTAGTTTTTATAGTACAGATTTAGCGCTTTTAATCTTTTCTTATAAATGAATCCAGCCAGCCCCTTGATAATTTTTGTTGCTCTTCTCTGAACTCCCTACAATTTTTCAATATCTCCTTGCTAATGAGCTTCTCAGAACTGAACAGAGTGTTCCAGGTGTGGGAACAGCAGAGTAGTATAGAGATGGCTTGAAATGTGACACTTCTGCATACGCAGCCCAAAACTGCAATAGCCTGTTCACTGCCATATCCCATTGTACTCTTGTGACAAATTTGCTGCCTGGGTGACTTTAGCAAGTCATTAGTAACTAATATTTACATAGCATTTCAGCTATTTTCAATTTTTGACCAACAAAATAACAAAACATTTGACTGACTCTAATTCCAAGATCAACCTAATGTTGCAGTTTTCTGAACGTGTATCCCCCCTCTTCCCTAGGTCCTTTGTATTCTCTGTCCTCTGCGGTGTTTGCAACCCCTCCCAGTTTGGTATCATCTGTGTACTTCATTACAGGTGCTGCTTTCTCCTTCTCTTTCAGATCCAAGATGAAGATGGTAAATAAGACGCATTCTAGCATATGTGCACCCCTTGGTGCACCCACATACTCCCCTTCTCAACCTTGATGATTTGCTGCTCGGTGTTAGCTTTCTTTATAGCCTTTTAGCTTGTTTTCAAATCAACAAGGCAGTGCTCTTATCCAAGCCAATTTAAATGAATTTTTCTAGAAGGATTTTGTGAGGCACAGTATCAAATGCTCTACTCAAATGCAAATATATTACATCTGCGGCATCTCATTCATCCACTAATTTTCTCCTTCTATCAAAGAAAGCAATTAAGTTAGTCTGGAAAGATTTATACTTTGCAGACCCACACTACTTATTGCTGATTCTGTTGGGCTCTATGGGTGCATACACATGTACTAACTTTCTGACAGTGAAGTTGACTTAACTTTTTTCAGTCGACTTAATGGTTGGAGCGTACACACATATGTGGAGGAGAGTCAACTTAAATGTGCATATGCAGAGCAGAGTCGACTTAATGCACCTCTAAGGTGTATTAACTTGAGTTGCGTTAGTTAAGTTGACCCTACTGCAGGGAAGGGCTGCCACCATGTCAAGGAGCTGTATGTGTATACACTCTGATGTGGGCTTAACTTAAGGTGAC